TCCTGGGGTATCGCCTGTCTGACAAGGGATTGGCCATGGATCCCGGCAAGGTCCAGGCGGTGCTGGAATGGAAAACACCCAAAACAAAGAAGGATGTGCAGAGGTTCCTAGGATTTGGGAATTTCTATCGTAAGTTCATCCGAAACTTTGCCCACCTGACGGCGCCCATTACGGACTGTCTCAGCAGTAAGAAGAAGTTCATGTGGACTGAGGAGGCGGAGCGAGCATTTGAGGAACTAAAAAGGGCCTTCGCCTCGGAACAACAACTCCTGCATGTGGATTTACAAAAACCGATGAGAGTGGAAACTGACGCATCAGACAGAGCGATTGGGGCGGTGCTTCTGCAGCCAGGGAAGAAGGGGTCAGAGTGGAGACCGTGTGCCTTATTGTCGCGAAAGCTGAACAAATCCGAGAGGAACTACACGGTGTATGACCGAGAACTACTAGCCATTCATGAGGCGTTCCGGAGATGGAGGCACCTGCTAATTGGCGCACAACATAAGGTGCAAGTGTGCACTGACCACAAGAACTTAGAGTATTGGAGGACGGCACGAGTGCTCAACCAACGGCAAGTGAGATGGGCCCAGGAGTTCTCCAAATTTAACTTTGAGATTAATTACGTGCCAGGCCCAGAGAACATTAGGGCGGACGCTCTCTCACGCAAACCAGAATATTTGGAGGGAGGGGCACCCGAAGAGAGACATGTCATTCCAGAGGACCGCTGGGTGTGTGGGGCGGCATTGGTGGGACAAAGAGAACTGGTAGAGGAAACAGAGAATGATGAATACGCCCAGAATAAGCTCAGAGGTCTTAGGGGTGAGAGAGAGGAACAAGGGGTTTCGAGGAAAGAAATGGAGCTTTGTATTACAAAGGGGCACTGTATATCCCTGAAGGAGAGTTAAGGGGGAGGGTACTCAAGCAGTTGCACGACAGCCCTACGGCGGGGCATTTTGGACAACACAAAACCATGTGGTTGGTCACCAGGGAATTTTGGTGGCCTAAGGTGAGGGAAGATGTACGTGAGTATGTAAGAGGGTGCGAGCAATGCCAGCGAGCCAAAGGGGAAAGGCGGGCGCCGGCGGGGCTATTAGAACCCTTACCAACCCCAGAACGACCTTGGGAGGCAGTGTCGATAGATTTTATGACTGATCTGCCGAAGTCCAAAGGGAATACAGCCATCATGGTGGTGGTAGACCTACTAACAAAGATGTGCCACTTTGTAGCGTGCTCGCATGCAGTCACGGCGGAAGAGACAGCGAAGTTATTTGTAGAACACATTTTTAGGTTGCACGGGGTGCCATTGAGGGTGGTCTCAGACCGAGGAAAACAATTTACTTCCAGGTTCTGGAGGAAGCTCATGAGCTTACTGCAGGTGGAGGTCAATTTTTCGACTGCCCGGCACCCTGAAACCAACGGGCAGGCGGAAAGAGCAAACGGTGTCCTCCAGCAATACCTGAGGTGTTATGTCAATGACAGAGAGAATGACTGGGTAGAAAAGTTGGCGCTGGCGGAATTTGCCTACAACAATGCCGAGAATGTGTCCACAGGGATGAGCCCTTCTTGGCTAATTATGGGTGTCATCCCAGGGCTTTCCCAGGGGAGATGGGGAGAGATGGAGCGTCCCGGCAGCCGAGCATTTTGTGGAAGAAATGGAAGCAATCCATCGTCAGCTCCAACTCAACTTAGAAAGGGCGAAGGAAGAATACAAGAGGCAGGCAGACAAGAACCGAAGGGAAGGTGAAACCATAAGGGTGGGAGATAGGGTGTGGCTGTCAACCCGAGGGTTGCCGTTCAAAGGAGGTTGTAAGAAATTAAGACCCAGGAGGTTGGGTCCCTTTGAGGTCATTCAACAGGTCAACCCAGTGGCTTTCAGGCTCCGGTTACCCAACCACATGAAACTGCACCCAGTATTTCACAGGTCGTTACTGTCACCGTACGAAGGGGGACGAGAAGGGCTGGCCACTCGGGGACCGGTCATAGAAGAAAGAGAATGCAGCAGCCATGTGGCAGAAATCCTCGACGCCAGGTGGAAGGGGGATCAGGTGGAGTATTTGGTAGCGTGGGAAGGAGAACCGGAGTCAGAAAACACTTGGGTAATGGCCGAAGATATCAATGACGAGGTATTGATAGAAACGTTCCATCAAAGGTTCCCAAGGAAACCTCAGCCTGTGGAGAGGTTCCGGAGGGAATACTTTGGGACCACTGATGAGGGGAGGAGTTGGAAGGATTCCCGGACTCGGAAGGGAAGGGGAGATGGACTCTGAGGAGGAGGTGTACTTGAGACCAGGAACCGCAACAGGTTGAGAGAAGTGTTCGAGACATCGGAAGATGAAGGAAGTTCATTCCGGGTTTTGCCTCCTCACCGCCCGTAGAGGAGGGGGCGAGAGGGGGTGAAGGGGGCCCTGGAGGGGAGGTGGATGTCAGGGAACTGCCATCGGACGGAAGGGAGGTGAAAGGGCTCACACAGGTTGGGAGAGACGCAGCAGCTGAAGAGGGAACCAGCAGGGAGGTGAAAGGGCTCACACAGGTTGGGAGAGACGCAGCAGCTGAAGAGGGAACCAGCAGGGAGGTGAAAGGGCTCACACAGGTTGGGAGAGACGCAGCAGCTGAAGAGGGAACCAGCAGGGGAGAGGAGCTGAGCTGGAGGGATGGCTCAGAGACACTTCCAGCGAAAACAGTGGGGAGGTTTCAGGACCTCCTGTAAGAACACCCACTCCTCGCCGGAAACTGTCACGCAGAGAGTCCAGAAGACGTGTTTCCGTTAAGGAGCTTTTATGTTGGAAGCGATTACGAAAGCAACCACTGTCGGAATCTGCTAGTGACTAGAGGAGCCATGTCTGAGGGGCTCCGTCACAGACAGAGGTTTGTGGACTTGAACAAACTCTGAGGGGATACGATTTTATGCACAAGCAGCTCATCATCTCATCACAGTACCCAACAGGTTTATCCGCTGAAATTCACTTGAAACAAGTCTTTTATTGCAGGCAACACAAGGCTTTTTCCAAACCGAATTGCTGGTGAGGGGGAAGTTTGAGCATATGTGTGTGCAAGGTTGAGACATAGGCATAGCTGCAGCATGCACAGGAAGCCCAGCACAGTTTCTCCAGTTTGGAAATGTCCCCATGGTCCCTAAAAAGTTGGCCATCTCAGGTCCATCTGCACTGCATTGTGCAGGACTGGATGAACATGTCAAGGACAATTCCAAAAGTGTATCTCCAATAGGAATAAGGAAGATATTTGGTTTGCAGTTCCTGAAGGATCATTCAAACAGAAACACAGCTAGCTTTCAAATTTCATACTTCCCTGAATTCTGTGATGCAGTTTTACAACTTGCGCCCTCCACAAAAACATATAAAATTGCCTTAAATGTGTGCATCAAAATGTTAATCTATGAGTGAAACATTAAAAATGCATTATATTAGAGAAAGTTGCTTTGAGAAATGTAGTTTAAGGAAAATTGAATTAAAACTGTGGTGTATTGGGATAAATGCATACAAAAAGGCTGACAGTTTTTCATGAAAACTCTTTTTAAATGCAATGTGGAAATGTTGGCAAACTGAACTTAAATGAGAAAAGCTTAACTTTTCAGATACTTCCATCCCTAGTCTCCATCTACATTTGTGTGTGTGTGCCTTGTCCCACAGAAACACCCTTTAAAATAATGACTGGAGCTAGACCCAGGACCATTGTCTAAAAGACAGAGTTCCATTAATCTTAACTACTAGAATTCAAAACAGTGCTGGTGGCAACAAGTGTGGTTTCATTTCCAGGCCAAGGGTCAAGACCTACTGATAAAGGATGGAACAAAAGCAAAAGGCCATTGGCTGGCTCTTTATTAAAATGCCCAGACAACCACTGTCTTACAATACAGATGGCTGTCCTGATCTAAACTCCTTTGTCTCAAGTCCAGAAAGAGAAGAAAATAAACATGCCTCTCAGGGTTCTATATGCATTTCATTACATGCTGAGAAAAGGATATCCTTCACAATATGCTGCCATTCAGGAGCATGAAGGGCAATTTTTTTAAAAAAAATAATAATGGGGGGGGGCAGATTTGCAATTGGGCTTTCTTTATATTACCACTGACAGCATGGGCTCGCTTTATACACCATTGCTGTTCATGTCAAAGACACACAGCTAGTTTATTGCTTATTTTATTGCTGTTTTATTGTAGACAATAAGAGGCAGCTGAACCAGCATGAAGGGCAGAAATAGCATTGGAATTTCACTCTCTTATATTGACAGGACATTCACTTTACACAGATTTGCTATTCCCTCACGTCAAAGACTGTTGCACATTTGATTGCATAGTAATGCACTTTTGAATGCTCTGTGATATCTGGTACTGGTCATAAACATTTATCCATCTCTGTAGTGCATGCATATTTAAACATATCTATCTTACATCTTTATGCAATTGTGCCTACTAGAGATAGTAATATTTATAAAACAGGAAAACTGATGTAATATATAATACTCCCAGGCTGGATCAGAGTTCTAATGTTTGCATTTGCTTGCCTTGCTTAGAAAAAGGTAAGGTTCAAGAAGGTTCAGGACCCATTTAACAGTCTATGAACTTCAACCCAGCTCGCTTGAGACAGTGGTTTCTGCTCTATTTTCTTCACTGTGTTTAAGACATTACAAAAGGAAACAAGAAATTGACTGCAAAATTGTGCATCATATATATTTTCCTGATCTGTGCTGAAATTTTGTCACTTTTTAATAAGAAAATAAATGAGAAGAAGCTCATGCATTACAACCAAAAATACACACATCTGTCACCCTAAAATCTAAATGTCATATAGATTGAGATGAATACCAGCTGCCTAACCTACGGGGCATACTTGTCAGTAACTACCCACTGCCAGTTCACAATGCAAGTTTTACTATTCAGCTGCTGTCCTTCACTGGAGTGAAGTGGATGTCGTTCATTATCTCACAGGGGAAAGAACAACGTGTTCAGCAAACATTGGTGTTGGTGGGTTGAGCTGAGTCCAGGAGGAAGGGCCATGGCTCAGTGGTAGAACGACTGATTTGCATCAGAAGGTCCCATGTTCAATCCATGGCCTTGGTCCAGTATACCTGAAGGAGCGTCTCCACCTCCATCATTCTGCCCGGACACTGAGGTCCAGCGCCGAGGGCCTTCTGGTGGTTCCCTCGCTGCAAGAAGCCAAGTTACATGGAACCAGGCAGAGGGCCTTCTGGGTAGTGGCACCCGCCCTGTGTAACGCCCTCCCACCAGATGTCAAAGAGAAAAATAGCTACCAAACTTTTAGAAGACATCTGAAGGCAGCCCTGTTTAGGGAAGCTTTTAATGTTTAATAGGTTATGGCATTTTAGTGTTTTGTTGGATGCCGCCCAGAGTGGCTGGGGAAACCCAGCCAGTTGGGCGGGGTATAAATAATAAATTATTTATTATTATTATTATTATTATTATTATTATTATTACAGACCCCTGTATGAAACCCTGGTGAGCCAATATGGACAGTACTGAACTAGAGGGGCCAATGGCAGGTTCCTATGTCAGGGGTTGTTTTTGCTGGGAGTTCTTTGGTTGAGAAAGAGGTTTTGCCTCTTGCCCACTAGCCCCAGTGCCTACACCCTGTGCCATAGAATTATATGGGATCCGGTGTGATTCAGATTCAACGCCTATCTACACAGCTTCACTGCTTCATTTGAACGACCCACCTCTGGGGTTGCATTTCTTGATCATGTTAGATTATGGCTGAAAACCTGAGATAAATGAAGTAAAATGCAACTCATGCATGGTGGGCACCCAAGGGCTTCAAAAACCTAAGAAAATTATGCACACACATGAAGACACACGCACAGCGACACACACACTTTTCTTATCTTGTTTTCCCTTTCTTTGCTCATAGCTGCTGCATTTCTCCCCACTGCTACTGTACCTAACATTAGCTTTAATTTAAAGCTAATGTTTAAAAGCTGCATTTTAAACAGTATTCTAATTTATATTTTAATCAACTGTTTGTTTTGTTTTTAATGTTTTTACTGTATTTATATTCGGTGTTACCCACCCTGAGCCCGGCCTTGGCTGGGGAGGGTGGGCTATAAATAAAAAATTATTACAGTGGTACCTCAGGTTACATACGCTTCAGGTTACAGATTCCGCTAACCCAGAAGGTTAAGGTTAAGAACTTTGCTTCAGGATGAGAACAGAAACCGTGCTCCGGCGGCACGGCAGCAGCAGGAGGCCTCATTAGCTAAAGTGGTGCTTCAGGTTAAGAACAGTTTCAGGTTAAGAACGGACCTCCGGAACGAATTAAGTACTTAACCCGAGGTACCACTGTATTATTATTAATTTCCTGAGCTGCATACTGCAAGCTGCTGAACAAGAGCAGGAATCACAGCTCTCATTTGGCTTTTAGATGCAACCCCACAGCAATACTTGATTGGCTATGTGATGGTGACATAAATCCAAATAAGAGTAAGGCAATGTTTTCTTTTGTTGCTCTGAACTGGCTTTGTCACTCTGCCACATGGCCATATCTGTTTGGCCTCTTGGCACTGTTACGAAGCAGAATTAGAGAGCAGCTACACGTTGCTTGCTGTACTCCCTATGACATGGTGTAGCTGGTGGGGGGAGGTCATCGTCACAACATTTTCCACACCACCTATACCATTAAATTGGGCCCTGTTCTCAATTTTCTCTACAAATAAGGGAGACCCTTTCACAGCCCTTGAATAAAGCTGCAGACTTGCACTGGGAGAGATTTTGGGCTCAGCTCTGAAGTATTTTTCACTGAAAGTACAGATAGCTTCAATCACAATCCACACAGTCCCTCTAGTCTCATAGAAACTTTATCACAGCGGGAACAAGCTAATGCTTCATTTTCCCTGATTGAATTTCATAAAGTTTCACAACTGGAGGTTTCTCCTTGTATCTGTGTTAGGATTTTCCCCCTATAATTTTTTCTCAATGACGGAAGAGCACCAGCAGCTTTTTCCCAATGACAGTACACAGGGTTCCAGGTGCCTTCTGGTGTTCTAAACACGACTTCCATCCTCGTCCTAAAAGGGCTACATTGAAATTCACATACTTTGCTGCTTATATAGGCTGATCGTTACGCAAACTATATGTACTCCTGCCTGAATCAAAGGAAAGTTGTCTGCAAAGCACCAGCTATTTACATGATTAAACATCATTTCTAAGGTGCCCCAATACAGCATCCTTTGCTTTATCCAACACATCTCACCTTCGTTTTCAATGGAGCCCCAAGATGACTTATGAAACAAAAAGGGAAAACAAAATAATATTGGAGAATCACAGTTAAAAATAAATAAATCAGCAGCTATCATAGTTATTTAAAAATGCCTTTGCCAACCTGGCACCTTCCAGATGTTTTAGATCACAACCCCCAACAGCTCCAGACAGTACACTAGGGCTGTTGAAAATTGCAGTCTTAAGCAACTGGAAGGTACAAGATTGGCAAGGACTGGTTGGGGAAAGTGTATCTCTGACACATGACCAAGGAAATGAAAACATTTTAAACTTTCCATCTGAAGAATAAATGAGATGGTCCTTCGCTTGTTCAAATATCACCCTATCAGAACATCACACTATTATGCATGAGGTTGTTTTGGAATAACCACTGGGCATTTCATCTACTGGCTATATTTCGGTTTGAGTTTTAGCAAGGCAATATGTTTGTCCACAGATCCTCCTTACAAGGACTACAAGCCCTTCAAGGTTGCTTTGGAGAGGAGTCAGTGAAGTTACTGTCTTGTGAATCTATGTGAAAACAACATAAAAAATACTCCCCACGAAGTAGACAATTTCACATATTCCTTCATGCTCCCATATACACAAGCTCCAGGAATGCAAAAGCTCCAAGGATAATTCCAGTCACTTCTCTCTATTTTGCCTGACACCCAGAAACATTTTCAAAACAAAGATTTAGATCAAGCCATGTATTATTAGACTTGCAGTAAATGTGCGCAATTTTGCACGATGAGATATTAAGATTTCCAAAGAAGGCAGGCAATGAACATTAGGGGCACAATCCAGGCAAAGCTAGGTATTAAGTCATATTGATTTTGTGCCGCTTAGGTACACCTCCCGTGTTATTCAAAAACAGCTGCTTTTAGATTACTCCCTAGCTGACATTTCTTTGTGTATAATATTAAGGAATCCCAGAAATTGACTAGAAAGTACCTCCTCTGTTTCTGCACTGTAGTTAACAATTTTACTTACTTAGAAAAAACTTGACTGATGGGGGGAATGCACACAAGGGGAATTCCTTAGCTAGTTTCACAGAAGTATGGATTTAATTTACTGCAGACCTGCCCATACAGTACAACAGCCTTTGCCAACCTTGTTCCTTCCAGATGTTTTGGGCTGCAAATCCCATCAGCCATGCTAGCTGAGACTGATGCAAGCTGTAATCCAAACAACTGGAGGCTACAGACTGGTGATGACTGCAGTGGAGCATGTTGGTAAAGGAACTGCATTAGCTTGTGTTTACACAATACTGATCTAATTCAATTTGAAAATATTTGGTGAAAATATTTGTGTCCAGCAAAAGCACTTTAAAAAGTGCCTTTTGCAGGACACTTTGGGAACGGAGGATGCAAAGACAAAGTGGGGATGCTGGAAGCAGAAAGGGAGAAGTTGTTTTCTTAAAAGTCTGCTGGGAAAAAGGAAAAGGAAGTAGGCAGAATTCCATGCGGCTCTGGCAGCACCAAGACTGGCTGCCGCTTTGGGCCCAAGCTTGCTGAAGCTGTGAGAGAAGCAATGAGAGACCCTCCTGGGATATAATGTTCTGGACCCCCTCCACTGAAGGCTTCAGGTATAAATATGTGTAAAATAAACCATGCTTCTTGGTGCCTTGATTTCCAAATGGAAACACAACCCTGGTTAAATGCAGAGACCCATGGAATCTCTTGCAACCTCTTGGCACATACCGGGTTGGCCATGAATTTGAGTCAGTATAGTAGTGTCTCCTGAAGCTGGACAGGCCTGAGAAACACTGATTTATTCATGAGACGTAATGAAACACATATTTGCATTTTAATAAACATCACAGTTTCAACTAACAAGTGAATTCCCACTGGAAAGGGACCAATCTTTGTAAGCTAAGATCCATCGAGGCCCATGTAGGCCCATGCACAAATCAAGTTTGGCATACAGATGAAGTGGTGTGTTATTGTTATTTCTGACACCGGTTCCTTGTACCTCGTGGGATTCTGCAACAGAATTCCTCCGTACACTGAGGAGGCTTTTCAGGGGGTAAAGGAAAGCTGCCACAGAGAGAGGGAGGCTGAAAAGCTGTGGTTTCTTTATGGAACACAGCACATGGCGCTTTGAATTCTGGTCTACGTTCTTCATAATACTAAAGATGATGGTTCAGAAATTTTAGAAGGAAGTGAATGTAATGACTGGGTTGAAGTGACTGGGTTTGTGCTCTTCTATCAAAGTCTAGAGGACATTTGTTTCACCCTCCTCAAATTGTTTAGGACTCCTTCATGAGGGTTACTTCATTTTCACCCAGGCAATATCTGTCTCCATGGAAACAGAAAGAGCAGTGAGAATGCAGAACTCGGCTGGCAGATTCTAAACCCTATTCCTACTTCCGTTTCGATTGACAGAGAAACTTGTTCAACAATTACCAGGAAGGGGCAGGGAAGAAGAATCTGATACTGCACGGGTTAACGAATATTGTCTCTTCCCTTCATACGAATCATTGATTTTTCTGGGGAAATTTAATTTTAAGAAGCATGAAGCGCTAAATGAAAATCTGTTTGATGAATACAACACAATTGTATTTTTAAATTAGCCTGCCTCTAGGACTAATAAGAGGGATTTAAAAACCAAAGCAATAAGATAATGAACAAAACCAAATATACACGCCAAAGATCCGATAGAAGGTACATGGCATGACTTTTTACAAATGAGCTCTAAGTCAGTTTCAGGTACTCTCTCACGTATGTTTCCAGTGTTTTAGAATGAATGCTGTTTTTAAAACTTTCATTCTGCTAATAGCAGTTTCCATGGAAACAAGAAAGAACACCACAACCACTGGGAGAAGAATTAGAGGCATCTATATATTTAGCCC